TCACACACTCACACACGCATGCAAAACACACAGTAGCCTCAGTCTCGGCGTAAACCGTGGCTCACTGGCTTAAGAGGGTTGTCTGGTAACTGCAGGTTACCAGACAACCCTGATCCTCGACTGGGACGTGCCATGTGTCGTAGTGTCCCTGAGCAAGACACTGAACCCCTGGCTCCCCGGGTGCCTGTCATTGGCAGGCCACTGCTCCCTATATACAGGGATGGGTCAAATGCAGAGGTCAAATTTCGTGTATGTGTATATGACAATAAAAAGGGATTCTATTTCTATTCTATTCTAAACCTCCAATTTAGCAGATAATGTTGTTTTTGTTCTTGGAGTCACTGGGCTGGAATAATGATCAAAAATGTAAGATTGATGTAAGGTTTAGAGTGCTCATTTCTCCATCTGTGTTTTACAGAGATAGATTAGAATCAAACGTGGAGGACGGATGAAGTGCAGGTATGCGCTGGGGAAAAAAAATAATAATAATAAAAAAAGCGGCAGACTGTTTGACATAGTTCAATGGTTGCAGTGCACGGCCAGCACTAGATCGCAGTCTATGATTCAAGAGGTTTTCTATAATTCAGATAGTCAAAGGAAAAGAACTTCAGAGGTTTTCTTTACAGTCTCCCGCGTGAAATAGTTCAAAGGGTGCGCGCTCGCTCACCAGCCGGGATGCACGCATCTGCGTGCACATACATTACACACACGCGCACGCACACGCACATACGGTCACGAGCTAGCACACCAACCCGGTAGCTTTGAAGGCCGAGACTCGGTTCCAAAGAGACAGGCTGCCAGAAGAAGTTGACCGTGCTCGGGAGCTGATGAGCAACTCTCTCAATTTCTCTTTGAGCCCGTTCATGAAGGCATGCGTGCGTACTCATTGGCGCATGTGCACACAGGGCTGGCGCATAGCTCTGTGTTTGCAGCCATTGTGCACCTATGGTTGCCCCGAGGGGAAGGGGGGGGGGCTGCTGCTGCAGGCTGGGGGATCTAATCCTGAAACCAGCTGTGCATTTGGTCAGGACAATGCTTAGTTATAGACAACATGGTGTAACATGCAGGTAACATGCTGCAGCCCCCTGCACTTCAGCCGCAGCCTCAACTTTCCCCCTGGGCTGGGGGGAAAAAAGAAAGAAAAGTGAATGGGGGGGGGGGGGGGGGGGGGGGGGGACAGGAAAGGGGCTCGTGAAAACTAAAAACAGATGGTGAGGGAGAAAGGAAAAGTGACAGAGAGGATGAGAAGCAATTTAAGGAATGAGGGGAGGGGGGAAAAAAAGGAGTGCCAAAAAATGGAGATATGAAGAGATTGACGGATAGGACAATAATAAATGAAAGACGTTGTTATTTAACACTTCCAAAAGCAGAGGGAGAGATGGGGGAGGCAACTCCCTTGTCTTTCTTGTCAACATGGTTTCTCTTTGCGTTGAGGGACTTCTTCAAGGGGGGAAGGATGGAGCAGGAGAGAGAAATAAAGGGACATGTGCAAACAGGGGGACAAGGTGGGAGAGACAGTAAAGAGGTGTCGGGGGGAGGAGGGAGGGGTGCACTGTCACATTGTTCACAGCGTCTGCTCCTTCCAGCCTCAAGTACCCGAATGCATGCGTGAGATGGAGAGAGAAGGCCAGCGAAGCGCTCCAGTATCAGTAAAGGGACAAGGAGCGCATTGTGAGGCATCAAGTCACTTTTATGTCAGCGGATCGCTGTAAATTGGGAGGCATGGCAACATTTTGGCTCCCAGCCCTTTCCCCGTGTACAATGGAACAGGCCAAACCTTGTGATTCTTCAGTTGTCTTGACGTCGCTAACTTTTCTCCCCCAGTGACACTTCAACCCAGCCACACCCTCGGCTGCAGCCAACTCAGCCGCTTTGAAAAAGCAACAGTGAAAGTGATACATTTATTTTTTGGGAAACACACTTAGAGTGCAGCGGAGCTTGGGTTGAGCTTAATAAAACAATAAATATTGGAAACATATGTACATTTTCTTAATTTAAGGTGCAGGATCCGAGATTGGGAGCATTTCAATTGTGTCTGAACGGCTCTCAACCACAGACTGTATATGAGATGTGGATGTAGTCATTGTGACGTCACCCATTGGTTTGTGGACGGCATGTTGTTGTTTTTTGCAACCGATGAACGGAAGTTACCATATTTGGAATGCGGAGTAGTGACGTAGTGGCAGCGAACTGTCAATCACAGTAAGCCCGCCCTAAAGCCTACCCTGCTTTGTGTTTATTTTACTCTAAATGGACCATAACTTACTAAATGAACATCATGCTGTATTGAAGAAGACTTGGAACTAGCTTTAGATCATAAACTCATGTTCACAATGTTTACTGAGGTAATAAATCAAGTGAGAACTAGAGTCATTTTCTCATAGACTTCTATACAATCTGACTTCTTTTTGCAACAGGAGTCGCCCCCTGCTGGTCAATAGAGAGAAGCTTCACTCGGCGGAGCAGGAGGTTGTCGCCGGCGTCTCACAGCTAACGGTGCTAACGTTGCAAAATGTGGCGATTTTGCGGACAGAGCTAACGGTGTTAACCTGAGCGGTTACCGAAGACTTGGTGCTACACTTCCTCCACACTGCAGTCGGTCGAGGTGGCGCTATCGGCTGTAACCGCCGTGTGAGAGCAGTGCAGAGCGGTGGCCGCGAGCTAGCCAGCGGGGCACGCTAACATGCGTGCAAAGAACGCCTGGACGGCCCGGCTATGTCAACAAAGCAAGGAGGAGATCGGATAACAACAAACACAAAAAGAGAGCGACTTCATTGTCTGGTCAGGTAGACATTACTCCACTACATCTTTACATAGCAAATATTGGTTTGCTGCAATATTAATGCTCTGAATGTTGAATACAGCTGCTTTAAATAATAAGGGTAAAACGGAAAACAACATAGAAGTGAGCTGCAACCTTAAGACAAAGAATGCTCAGTAGCCATTTTGAAATAGAGGCATCTCAGTTCAAAACACGATAAAAACAGAGTGAGTCATTGAACTGGGGCCGGCATATCGCTAAAACAGATTAAGCGGAACTTTCATGGCTGCTGCTTCGTTTCCCCTTCAACCCAGTGTATCCCAATGGGGAGATAATCTGGGAAATGCAGCGCTATCGGGTCCTCTCTAGGTTGCTTGAGAAGCCTTGTGAGACCCTCTGGAGATATGAGGCTTTGATATCAAGACCAATTATGTGGTGTGGGGCGTACACACACACACACACACACACACACACACACACACACACACACTCCCTGGCCTTGGAGAGTAGTGGAGAGGAAAACAAAAGGGAGAATGTGATACTGAGGAAACACTGGGCAGGCGGAACATGCTCTGATTTTATCAGCCAGTTGAGCTGGGGATCGAAAAAAAAACAGAGACGATACAGACATAGAGGGAATGAGAGAGTGGAAGGCAGTCTGGCCGCAGCACACTGACGAAGAGGGGGTATGAGAAAGAGCTAAAAAAAATAAATATTGAAATGCATGCACGGACACACAAGCCCCCAACACGGCCTCCAGTGCACATTAACAAGCATGAGCACACACTCAAGGATTTCACATCCACGTAACGCCGGTGCTTTAAAACGCATGAGCATTGCAGCATTATACGCACAGACACACACACACACAAACAGGCTCAGTCTTGCCACAAACACGCACGGGAAATATATGTGATAAACAGTTTTATCCAGTCTGAGTCACCTCCACGGAGGATCCCTCAAGATTAAGTCTGGCCTCTGGCTCTGCTAATTGGAGCTTAAAGTCTGGTGTAGCCCCTGGGCAGTGTATGCTGCGTGTGGCACATGCTGTGAGTATCTGTGTGTGTGTGTGTGTGCACGCATGTGTATAAATTATGGATGGCTAGGGCCACAGGAGAGGGGTGGCCACACAAGCTGCAGCTGCCGGAGCGAGCGGAGAGGAGGCCGAGCCAGGCCAGAGCAATCGCAATCAGAGCACTGCCACACAACAGAGACAGGTGGTTCGATGGAGAGAGAGAGGAAGACGACAGCAGCAATATTGGGACAGGAAAAGAGCACTCAAAGTTGGGTGACGCATGAAAAATAGAGATACTAATGGTGACGTTAGTGAATAATTTATATCCAGACGTTCTGATTACACAGAGCATTGCTTTCCGCTCGTCGCTATTTTTGTTTTGCTATTATTTTTCAGCTCGTGCTCGTGATCATACCTGCACCGCGTATAGGTTGTAGGTATGATGTATGCCGTTCTAGTCGTACCTATCACTGTTGACCAAGCCTTTTTTTTTTAGCTGTCAATAATGTAAATATTATGCAGCCGAAAAGTTCTTTTTTTCGGGAGCGTTTTTTTTTTTTTTAGGTTTCGCATCCATGAAAAAAATACTTCAACCAATCACATTGTGCGGAATGGACATATATTGAAAACATACACCATAGTGTACAATTACACCGTTCAACTTGAACAAAGGGCAACACAGACCTGATCCCACGTAGTCAGTATATCCACATTAGTGATGACTATTTTATCAAAAATCTTATTGTTAAACATTTTGTAAAAGCATACAATAGTCAACTCTACAATTCTGTCTCAATATTGATATTGAGGTATGTGGTATTTGGTGTTATGCTTAATTTTTAACATCAAAACTATGTATTATAACCCCTGTTCAATGCTATACTGCTGACTCTGTGGAGCCCTCTTTCTGTCTTCGGCTGAGCTCCTAATGGCACTGTCAGGAGAGGAGGCTATCACACGGGCCAGCTGTAGAGGAAGTGTTACTTGAGCAACTCCCATTGTGTGATAAGGTTTCTACAGCTGTATGGTCGCTGTACCGCATGAACAGGAACAGAGAGGGTGCGTGACTCACGGGTTACGCCGCTTACCACAGAATTTCCATCACCTTTCTCCTCTTATTTCTTATTTTTTACCCCCCCCGGTACACTACGTTGGAAAGGCGTGTGTCCTTTCTCTTCGCTTTCACCCACACACAAACGCACACACATACACACATACACTGACCTGAGCGACATGATCTTGTACGCGTCGGGCAGGTAGCAGCGGGTGTTCTCCATCTGGGCGGGGTCAGAGTCGCAGATCTTGTCGTCGGTGCGGCCGTAGTTGGCGCTCTCGATCATGATGACATCCGTGCCCGGGCAGCGCAGCTCGATGGGGTAGGACTCGCAGGACAGCTCCCTCCGCACCACCGCCATGGGGATTGGGGCGCGGCCGAAGGCTGGACACACAAAAGAGGATTGCTTGATGATACCCGCTGAAAACACACACTATTTGTGGAGCTGTCTTTTGAAAAATGTGCACTGGAGGACTAAATTGTACAAGCACAGATTGTGTTCCACTAAGACTGCATTTGTACCCTTGTCATATAGACTAATTATCCACACTATATGAAAACGATAGCACCACGGACGAATATTTATAAGGGCACGTCCACTGTCGCGAGTGAGTCGACTTGGTAATTACTGTTTTGCAGTTAGCAGTTTTAGACATCACTCCAGATAGAGAGTAAATTGCCTGGCTTTTTAGTGGTGTCGAGATTAATCTAAAGATGGCAATGCCTCGTTATTCTCAGAAGTTCCAAATTCGATGCAAACATCCACTCTTACTGTACTGAAGCAGGGAGAGTTAACATGTCATTAGTTCCAATGAGATTGGAGCTACTGATCTGCCCCAGATCTTTTTATTTTTTATTTCCTGCTATTGCTTTGCTCCATTGCTTGTTTGATGATGAAGGCTCTCGGATGATGAAACATCTGCAAGACCAAACAGCAATCAAGCTTCCATTGACTAATCACGTCTAGATATCTTATGACCTGAATGTCTGGCAATGTTCACAAAGGGAGACGGCAGCAGCTTCCGCACCACAGTTCTCACCTGTGGTGCATAGAGACATGGGATATGAACAGGCCTGTGCTCTTAAAAGTCCCAAGACAATAAACACTGCAATCACAAAATGCAACTTTAGATGATACAAAACAAAAAGTGCTTCAGGATAAAGCGCCTCTGGGATGCCTCACCTTGCAGCAGGTGCCGCTGTCACCCTTCAGACTTTTTTGGCTTGTCATGGCGGTAAAAGTGCAGATGACACACATTTTGTTTCAGGATGGCTCAGTGTCCCGGTGAGCCATGACACTGAGCCATCACACACAATACCTGGACCCTGAAACCCTGAATGCAGTCGTTTTTAAAGTTGATCGATGACACCTGTGCTTTTCCTGCTGTGACAAGTCGAAATGTCTGCTGTGAAAAAGGTCCCTCTTGGCTCATGCGGTTTATTGTGTCAAGTCTGTGCTGAATGCGGTAAATATCAACCAGAATATTTCCTTAAGAACATGAACAACGGGTATCTTTGTCATCTCGGCCAGGATGATCATGCGATCAGGCATGTGTGTGTGTGTGAGTGCACCTCTGTGTCTGTCCACGGCTAATCTCTGTTGCAGAGTAATTTGGGTGGCCAGTTATGGCTGCATGTGGTCGCGGTGACTCACACTTCCAGAGCACACACTGCTGAGAACATCACTGCTACCCGCAGCTACGCAGTCAGACATCTTGATGAGGTTTGTTTTTGGCAAGATTGTATGAAATGTCTTTTCCGACCACTTGGAGCCGATTGCGTGCTTACATCGCCGCTTCTTTTTTAGTTGGAATGAAGTGTGTTTTATGACGCTTCACAGCCCACTGGTGTCTCGACGGGGAGTTGGCCAGTTTTGGGCCGATACAGATGTGGTCATTGCAGACACACCTGGCGGAGAGCCGCACTCAACTATGTACACCTTTCTAGTTAGAAGAGTATACTATTAAAACATTATTTAATTTAATGAACTAATTAAAACTATTTCTGATGTTTTATTTGTTGATTTTCATGAATGGGTTAAAAGATAATCTTTCCTAACAAACCCTATGAATCTACATTCTGGTACCCTATCTTATCCTGCCATCAGTTATTGATTGTGTGGTCACAGCCTTATATAACTTCTGCTTCTATGCCATAAAACTCCACCGTCATCCGGTTACGAATGCAATACAAATGGCTCTTTATTTTGTCCTCATCCTTTTAATCATGTGTTTATTAACACTCTCTACATATTGTCTTGTGATGATAAGACCGTGCTATTGATGCTCTCGGGCTGGATGGTCCCAGGGACTTCGGTTGTTGTGGTGAAGCCTGGATGTTGTTATTCTCTGTTCCTGAGAGCAGCGAGTCCTGGGAGCACTAGCCGTCCTCCCTTGATAGATGGATAGGTTATCAGCCGAGGTGCTCGCTCGTGTTGTTCGCCTTTGTCATCCCCTAGCCCTGCTGCGATCGCAGTGTAGTTTTTATCGTTTCATTTCATATTCACCTCATATTGTCACAGGCTACCCCTACCCAAGGACCACGACTGAGAATTTAAGCTATATCCGGTGCAATATACATGATATGCATTGTCCCTGTCGAATAAACAAATAGAATATATTAATTCTGCAGTTTATGTATACAGGCCCGGTGATCGTGACTGCTTGTTGTTCTGTCACTTTCCTTTTTATTGACAAATTCATCCTGTCAAGGCCTTTCCGAATCATTTCTCAAAAGCACACGCGCACACACGTCAAGCGCACGACCGCTCAACAATCAGGCCTCCGAACATCCCTGAAAAGCGAGGCATGGCATCACCTCCCTTTGCTCTCCCTGTCACTATAACCATAGCAACCCCCCCCCCCCCCCCCCCCCCCCCCCCCCCCCCCCCCCCGCCGCCCCCCCCCCCCCCCC